GTCTTGTTAGAAGGTCTTCAAAACATTTTCTGGAATTCATGTTACGTCTGTGTGAAATTCTTTAGTTTGACTTGATGTTTTGATCTTATAGTTACCGCTGAGTGTGCATACTCATTATGAGTTACATCTGCTCCATCGGTAAAATATCTCGCGCTTTCTGCGTTTGAGAACGAGTGTAATGCTCGAGGAACGGCTGAAGTACCAACAATGAAAAGAAGAAGAGAAAGTGATTGTCGTAATTCAAGAGAACGTGTTCTAGTTAATGTCTGTCAACCGGTGAAACAAGATGTTTATGGTTTGTATATGTTTTCACCAATTTTCTACTCTATATCTCTGAAGATGGTTCAGACTAGAAGGCTATAATAAATATTACGTTGATTTAAATTGCTTTTCTTTCTATTTAGAAAATAGCGCAAATTTATTAAGACGTGTAAAGAAAAAAAGGAAGATAAACTATAATTTATTCATTTCCGAGTTACCGTGGAATTGTACAGTCCCACGTATAGTGAAGGCGTTCAAAGAGCGCGGTTATTCTAAAATTCGAGTTAAATTGGCTAAAGATGATAAAGGTCGTTTTACTGGAATGGCTTTCGTTGAATTTTCAAAATATCATCTGACACAACTGATCGAAGAGCATTCCATTAAACCATTTTGTATTTCCAAAAATAGACCGTTACACATGAAACGTTTACTGCATAACGTCCCATATGACGATAAATTAACAAGATGCGCCGTCTCCAGCCAAATCAAAATCATTTTTGCACCACTATTTGATACGCTACCTGATCATATAATCCGAACAGCATTTGAACGCTATGGTAGAATATCTCATTTAACGTCGTATTATGATGAAGAACTCTGTCGTTTAGTTTGCGATATTCAATACAAGAATTATGATTCAGTGGATCAGGTAATTCAATGTTCACCATTTGATCCATTATGTATTGAAAGTGTGCATAAAGCTATTGATATGTTACCCGAATATCATCCACAAATGATCCAACATCGAAAAAAAATTGATAATGTTAAAGTTAAACGAGCAATGTATCATGAAAAATTAAAAGGAAAATAAATGATATTTTTTGTTATTCTTAGCTTACTTTTACAATAGAACAAACTTTTTTGCTGTTTTTGTTTATTGTCTATTTTTGAACGAATAAGATTTCCTTTTGGCTTTCTAGTTTTTGTTTTGGGTCGCTTATTTATTGGGTATGAATGCAGTAGCTATAGTTAGCAAACCGATTGCGTACAGCCATTGAGTAGTTCCAAAATAAAAGTTCGAACTAGAATTACCTTGAAATTTTTCAACATCGTATCAAATTTTTGTTTTTGTTCTTCAGTGTATGAGAGAGAATGCCACTTTTTGTCAGGCTGTGTAAACTATGTGGTAAGACAGATTCTACATCAAAGCAAAAATGGACAATAATTCGACATGTAGACGTTGAAGAGAGACTTAAAAGTGGCTATCAGCATAAAAATCATTCAGAATTAACAGATTCATTGTTAAACCAACAAGTTCATCTAAAATGTTACAGGATGTTATATCGGATAACATATAATCGAAATACAAGATCTGCTAAGTATACTTTAAAAAGTAAGTTCCACAGAAAACCATTAAGTAATCGTAGAAACCTACGGCAATTAAGTCGGGATAATCCAGCGATAACAAGATCATACAGTTCATTGTCACTACACGTGAATAGTAGTCATTCATCTCAACACGATGTTGATGGTTCGCATCCGGTAGAATTGTACAGAGTATCTTGTACT